GTAAGTAGTTACCTTCGGGACCATGAACGTGAGTCAACGCTTTCATATCTCTGGCGACTTTTGAGTCACAGTTTTGCGGACGCATTAAGACGAGGTATATTATCATGAACGGAATGGTTGCCCGGACTATCATCCTTGTCTTGTGTGCGAGATACACAAACTTTCGGCCAGTTACTGTACGGCCGTCTTCAGGTGCTATACAATCCTGAGAATGTCTGGGACGATGTTTATTTGCCAGCTATTATGCGTGACAAGCCGAATACTGTCTTGGAATTGCTCGGCTTCAAACCAGGAGTCGTCACGATGCCGTCCAAGCAGTCTTTGATTGCCAGTACAGTGTGCCCCCAACTGAGCTACTTACCAACTGAACAATCATTACCCACTCCTGTTAGCTCATTTGGAAGAACCCTGCGCTTGCAATCATGAAGGCCTGGTTCGGATCCCAACAATTTGAAGGAGATGACTAGGATTATTGGCACCTACATGGCTGATAACCAAGCACCATCCAGTTCTTCTCAGTGCTTCATAACATCTGTCCACGAAGGGAGATTCAACTGGCCGAAGCGTTGTGTAATTAACGCATCAAACGAGGATGATTGTCCGAACAGTTATTCATTCATGACCTTTGAGTTGATGACGCTGTTTCAAAGACATTCCTGCATGGATACCGTCCAAGCAGACTGAGCCGCAGTGCAAGTACGGTTGTGTGCTTAAACGTTGTGGATCACTGTTATGTGGGCCTTGGCTTCAGAACGGCACCACTTGGTGTATGCTGCACCAGGCATGTCAGGTTTAGTACAGACAATGCATCGCGCGTAAGCTATAAATTGTTGCTCGCGTGTGGCCTCTCCTCGTTGGAATGAGTTGGAACACACTGCATCTATTTATAATATAGAAGATTGTCGCGTGGCTGATTCTGGTTGGCCAACCAGCCTGAAACACCGCCGCCACACCTACCAGTAACCAGTTTCTCAGAGCGAGGGGTAATAGATCGATCCATACAGGTCTTTATAGCCATGAGTAACGCGAAGTACAAGAAAATGAGATGTGCGGCGATGTATACAATATCTGTTTACGAGAGAGCCGTGCACGACCCGGACAGGCCTGGGACCGCTGCAACGGAAAACGGACAAGGGGGATTACAAATCGATGGAGCCACGTGATGTGCTTCTACAAAACGCTATCATGATAACGAGATTATGATTGAGCGATCGCAAATAGTGATACAGAATGTAAGTATGCATGCACAAACAAAATGAAATAAAACCAAAAAATGTTGCCTTTATTTTGCTGCGGTCAAGACGAATTTTACCGGTGCACATTTTAGGCATCAGTATAAGACAGTTGTGTCCGCTACCCCTCACGGAGGCCTCAGTTGGAAGTGACCACCGTGACCTAAACAAAGCGCAGCGGCCCAGTAATGCTTCACACAACAATGTACTTCCAACGTGCAACTTTCCGAGACGTACGTCGAGCGGACGCCAAACTCCGGCCAAGTCAATGGCATGGCTCGCTGTCCATTAGCGTGTGCATTAATGCTTGAGTGGGCCGTCAGTAACGGCGAGAAGTCGGCTGCCTCCTCGATCCGTCGCCTGAGCCCGGAGCGGCGCGGCGCGGTCCCCGGGGCCGTCCGGGATTGCGATTCGCTGTCAGCTCGAGCCCAGCCAGAACGCGCCGTCCTGCTGCTACCTGGCAACGGCCGGACGGCGCGGGCCGGAATGGCCATGCCACCAGCTGACCCTGTCTGGAGGCGGCGGGGGCGTTCGAGGGCGGAGAGCAGCGGGCGGGGCGGGTGATGGCTTGTCTCTCCAAGGATCAAAGGCCTCAGATAGGAAGTTCTCTGATTCAGATGTCACCGTTTCCACGGGCGCTTCTGTGTGGATGAGCGTAACGTGGGCCGTGCGAAGCGACGAGTGAAATGTTTTTGTTCTATAGAGCGAGAGCTCAAGCACTCTGGGACCAATCGAGTCCAGGCAGTCGTGTCGCCGGAGGTGAGAGCTATTCAAGCAGGGCTGACTGAGATAACAGCACTCTCAGAGACAATCGAACATCTCCTTTGTCTGAGGTCAAGGCGTGCTCTTCTACGGAAACAGTGTCTGGTACGTGGGAACTGGAAACCGCCCGGCCGTTTCTGACATACGCATCATGTATCAAGCTCACATATCGAAAGCTTGTCGAGCTTGTGCATTGCGAGTCCGTGCATCCAGAACAAGGAGGGCACCCTCCACTCCCCAGAACACAGCGCACTCCAGTGTAATCTCGCCCGTTACCTGTAGTGCACGCTGCGCTAGAATGCTGAGATGATGAGCTGATCATGATGAGTCACAATGTCTGCCTCTTGGCAAGGTCGTGTACCGCGGGACAGCGGTCGGTCGGCCGCTCACCTGGTGCAGGGTGGAGGCTATGGCCCAGATGCCGTCGTAGGCGTAGCCATGGAAACGTGAGTAGGCGTTCCCACGCACATGGTTGTACTGCTCGTAGTACTGGCTGGCCGTCTGCAGACGAAATGAAAATATTAGAGGCTTGTTGAAGCGTGTTGGCTGGTGATCGAAGGGGGCGCATGCAGCGTTTACCGATTGCCGAAGATCAGTTACGATACCGTTTCACTTTTATCAGTTGCCTTTTACAGTATGTTATCTGCGTATTTTGAAGAATTACCGCAACTGGTTTCAGCGGATCTCCTTCGATCTAACGTATTTCATTCTTTAGGCATGACAACGCTCAATGCACAAGGAATATCCTAATAGCTGAGAGCCCTAAGGCTCATTCTTTTGTCGGCGGCACGGGGCGCAGTGATGGATCAGAAATGGAGTCTGTCGGTTGCCTTGATTTACTCGATGAGCCATATTCTACAGCTGTATCCAAGAAGAAACAAATTGAGGATGTCCTCAATAAGGCTTCGTGATGATGTCTGACATAAATTCAAGGAAGCGATTTCCAAAACAAATCGGTTGTCTTCCATGACAACATAAGGAAATGGACTCTTCATTTTGCCGTCTGATAAACTGCGCATTGGAATAGTTGCCCTGGATTTCGTTTTAGATTCAGTATGCTGCCGAAACACGAGCAAAGGCAAATGAAACATATTTCTGAAGAGGGGTTGGTCGACACGATCTCTTATCACACTGTTTACAGTAATGCGTCCCCGTGTAACCAGCCATACAGTCAGGGTTATCTATTGTGGTGTATAAATGCATCATCATTCATTACACTTGATTTTCCATCATACATCCCACAGAGGTGTGTGCAATTACATATGTCATGCTGGTGGAAATCATACACACGCTGTTTGCAAGTCTTCGCCGAGCAGAATTGTGTTCGACGCGAGCTGAATCATGGATCGGCTCATGAGTTAGTCGTTTTGGGGTGGGTCAAGTCATGAACTGCAACACTTTTTCGTAGATTTCATGAGCTGAATCGTGAGCCGATGGTGTCTTAAGATTATGTGTCAGCGAGTCATATGGCCCAAATGAAAATGGCAACATAAAAACACCCAGCACCCCAGACAAATCAACAGCCCATTTCAGATTGCTAAAATGAACAGCATGCAGCAGTAATATAAAACGCTTTGCAAGATCAGCAACGAAGTTCTCTACCGCAATTTATAAGTAGCCAGCCCAATATTGTTGATCCTGAGCTAAATTTTACAGAATCTCAGCCAGGAACCAGAGTATATTGCATTGTGCAGATATCCTTCATTCCTATATTGTATGCTAGAATCAATGAAAGGTCGTCTGCTACCTTGAAAATCTAAGTGCGGTCATATGCATTCAGGTCAATTATCACTGCAATGAATTAATCCATGACTGACCCCGCACTACATTGCTCCATACTACTTGGTCAGCTGCAAGCATGCTTTTTCGGAAGCTATGTGAAATAAACAACAATAGTGGCGAGGTCGATTAGTCCCACACGCGCACTGTATCTCACAGGCGACCCACAAGGGATAACATAACTAATCCTTTTCACGCAACTTGGGTGCAAATCTGACCTCCAAATTTAGTAGTCTTGGAATGCGGGTAAAGTGGCGCACAGCACTTTTATCTCCACGCAGCGCGGAAGTCTGTTTTCACTCCTCACTCCTCGTAGAGTGACCCGATGATGTAAGTTTGGAACACCCTGGTGAAAACGGCGGTCACCGCTAACTTTAGCTTATTCTATCAGTTTCTTCAGTTCAATTCAGCTCCTTGCTGACCGGAAGTCGAGGAGCGAGGAGCGAATGAATTGGATTTTCGCTGCGCTCTTTTGTAAGAAATGTTAGTCTAATTTGTAATACATATTACTTAAGTAACGTAAGGTCATCACATGTTTGTAACTTATGGTAGATGATCCCTATTGCAAGAAATTAAATCGAATGTTGAATTGTTGGCATGCCATCAATACCAATGTCAATACCATGTTAATGCACTTGGACGGCACTTGGCAAGTGCGGACTGCCAACTATCAGGTTCTATGCAGTCTAGTTCGCAGGTGTCAGGTAGAATTGCAGGCCTAGAACTGAGACTTGAGAGAGCTGGTTGGTAGCAGGTTACAGGAAAAACATTCGTTGCCGCACTGCATATGCTAGGTTCAAACTATAAACTTGCTGCTCAGCTATTCGTATGTATTTTACATATCATGGTATATAGTATATATATATATATATATATATATATACGACTGAGTTATAAAACAACAAACCGAACATGAGTTGGATTTTTGATTTTGCAAGCGGCGCGAGTCATGCGTCAAGTGATTCAATGCAAGCAATGGGTCTGAACCGAGCTGAATAAAAAAAATGGGCCCGCCATGAGCCATGGCTGGATGGGATCTCAAAATCTGTGACTCGGTCCTGAGCCGGATAAAAAACGAGTCAAACACAACTCTATCCCCAGACCAGCAAAGCAATGCCTTTCGAAAAAATAAAGACGTCGACAAAGTCCGTCACATTCCCCTGCGTCCCGGCATGACACAGTCAGCTGGCGCCAGTTTGCGCAACAGCTGTCCGCGCTCGACCAGGCCGGCAGCCGCCCGGTGCAGCCAGCGGGACGTACCATGCCGGAGACGGTCTTGCGCTGGTTGTTGCTGAGGTGAAGCACGTCGGCAAACACAGCGCCCGGCAGGGCATGCAGCACCTCGGCCACGGTGCAGGGCTCGGCGGCCTCCGGGCCGGCGAACTGGTCCTCGAGCCACCAGCTCTCGCCGTACAGGCCCACCAGCACCCACTGGTAGCGGCGACCAAACATGCCCTCGCGGCGCGCCTCACAGAATATCCGGCGCGCCCAGCTGGCGTCGAAGCTGCCCAACACTATTCGGACGTCCTTGCTCTTCAGCTTCTGCAGCTGGTCGGTGATCTTGCCGGCGAACGTCTGCATCTCCACCACTTCCACGGAGAAGGTGTCAAGCAGGCCGACCATGTCGTTGTGCGCCTGCAGCAGGGGCACACGTCAGTGGCGGCCCGAGCGAGCCCGTCGGCCCAGACGTCCGACGCCCAATTTATGACCGGTATCAATGAAAGAGCCCTGTCGACCATATATTCATTTCGAGCAGGTCATCCCTCGCCGGCAAATGTAACCGGCGACAGGACATCAATTGCAGGAACACGTTCAGGGACGAGCGGGCCGCTCTATACCGCCCGCCTCTGCTCCGAGCCGTGAGCGCCACTCGACCGGAACGACCGTCCTGAAGGGAGTGACCTCTCCAGCTGGCCGCGCGGCGGCACTGGCGGCGGCGGCTGCCTGGGGAGGGCGGCTGCCAGGTCGGCCCGGCTCCGCCACGGGCGCGTACTCCCACGGCTCGTTGATTTGTTATTCAGCCAACTTGGTACCATCTTGAGAAGATGATTGCTTTCCGGGAATGGTCCACTCGGGTCAGCTTTGAATGCAGTGGACGCTTGCGACGTCGTCAGAGAAGTGGCCGCTGGCATTCACGCATCGCTCGCCAGCAGGTTGCGCACCATTTCGTATTGCCTGGCGTAGCCAGCGGCCACCAAGCGAACGAACCTCGCGACATCTACAACCTTAAACCTCGACACCTACACCAAAGCTGTCGGCAAGCCTCCTAACACAGTGGCACAGGCTGACCTGGCCTCGCGTTCCTCCAGCCGTCCGGGCTGAGTTGCGTGCGTTCGCGACCCCGCCCACCGGAACGCCTCGGGGCAGGCGGACGGCCGTCCCTCGTGAGCTGCCGGCGGCACGCTCTCCCGACAAGTTTCAACGGCTCCGTTTGTTTACTGGCCGGGGCGCGCGCAGCAATTAATGGGGCCGGCCGGCGGCCGGGTAGCGTGCCACGTCGCAGGCGGCACGCCCCGGCCGGCACAGCCCGCCACCACAACAGCGCGCCGCGCCCCGGCCAGCGACGACACAATCAGGCGAGCCAGAGCCAGAGTCAGAGCCAGAGCCAGAGCCACCGCCGCCACGCCCGTAAGCGGCCAAGTTTTCCGCTGTTTGCCGGCAACTTCCATCGGCATCTCTCTACCGCAGAAGACGTTTTGTTTGCGGTTACTCCGGCAGTGCTGAAAGGCTGGCTAGCTAGGGAGGATTGTGTGGTTACACGGCTGTGTGTGTGCATTCACCTTCCGTTACTCTTCCCTCTCCGCAGACACGAGAGCACGGAGGTAAGGGAGGTGGGTGGCTGCTGAAATTTGAAAATATCTCTCACACGGAAATTTTCAAATTTTCGTGGCATGAGTCTTGTAGCGAAGAGTATCAAAACAGGTCAGAGCACATGCTGTAAATTCCAGGTTCCAACATGTTGAACCCGGAGCGTCATCTCGTCTCGTCATGTCTCTGTCTCGTCTGTTCTGTCTCTGTCTCTGTCTCTGTCTCTGTCTCTGTCTCTGTCTCTGTCTCTGTCTCTGTCTCTGTCTCTGTCTCTGTCTGTCTTGTCTCTGTCTGCTTGTCTATGTCTCTGTCTCTGTCTCTGTCTCTGTCTCAGTCTCTGTCTGCTCTGTCTCGTCTCTGTCTCTGTCTCTGTCTCTGTCTCTGTCTCTGTCTCGTCTCTGGCTCTGTCTCTCTGTCTCTGTCTCTGTCTCTGTCTCTGTTCTGTCTCTGTCTTGTCTCTGTCTCTGTCTCCTGTCTCGTCTCTGTTCTGTCTCTGTCTCTGTCTGTCTCTGTCTCTGTCTCTGTCTCTGTCTCTGTCTCTGTCTCTCTATGTCTCTGTCTCTCTGTCTCTCTCTATTCTCTCTCTCTCTCTCTCTCTCTCTTCTCTCTCTCTCTTCTCTCTCTCTCCTCTCTCTCTCCTCTCTCTCTCTCTCCTCTTCTCTCTCTCTCTCTCTCTCGCTGGCATGACACTCACTCCATCTAAAGGGGTTGTTTCTCTTGCAGTTGGCAAGCTGTGTCCCACCTTGCCAGTTTTTACTCGTAGCCTCGCGAGCGATGATATGATTGTTGATACCAGCTGTCAAAACTACGCAAACAGACCTTCCCGCTCATCATGGCTCCCCATTTCACTCAAGGAAACCACATGGTGAACTAAAACAACTCATGCGCCTACAGCATATGCCTGGCTGTAGTGGTGTCGCCAGTCCAGTTCACTGTTTGAGTGAGTCTTTCATCATACTTCAATGATGTGTCAAAACCGCCGCTAATTTCTTATCTTTGCTTTCTCAGTGGTTACGGTCATGTGGACCTAGAGATAGTGACAACCTAAAGATGGCATGCTTTTCAATAAATTTGCACGGCTATAAAGCGCCTTTTCAGGGAGCGATAATTGGTTTCTGAACCACTTGAGTTACACCTGTAAAAAATAAATAAGAGATGTGATATAGGTTACCAGTTGATACGATACATCATACGCCTTTAGAAAAAGCGTCCCATCTTTGGGGCATGGCTCAAAAACATACCCTGCTGAAACATTAGGTCCAGTTACGTCTAACAATAGCACTGGGTTATACCAGTGCAGCACCGTCAAGACATAATAAGGATGTAAACGGCAATTATTTTCGAGTCTAAATACGCTGTCAACGCTTTGTAACAGCACTGCACTTCTTCCTTCTTAGTGACACCGGAGTGTATACCGAGTCCGCAACAAATGCAGTTGTCACGACCATCGTCGTCATGGCGGACGGCAGAATTTGCTGGGGCTGTTGTCGGCTATTGCGGGTTAGAGGCATCGTTTTGAGCTGTTTTTACCCACATATTGCAGACCTGGGGACTAAAAGTGGCAACTCTACTAGTGTGGATGACGTCAGTATAAATGAAAGTGTGTGACTGGGACAGCTGGCGGCAATGGCCAGTTACCGAGAAGCGCATTGACTGAATTTGAACCAGTGCGTCACTGTAGACCATGTAATGCTCTCTTCTCCGAAGCCATTGCGCTTCGCAAGGAGCTGCTGTAGTTAAAGCCATAGTGGCCACAGAGGAGAGATCAAAACCATGGTGTGATGTTTCGTTGAATTCGCGGGATAACAGCCTCATGTTTGCAAGTCGTTTTCTCTAAGCAATGCTTCAAGTTTTCGCAATATTTATTACATAAGCATTTTGACAGTGTTGAAAAGATTGTGGAGAACGTATCCGTTGCAAAATGGAAGATAAGTGAAACATGTTACTTTCATTATAGTGAGCGGGCCTAATGAGATGTTCTCCCGCAAGAACGACTGCTTCAAATCGAAATCCTGAACCATTCAGAAATATTTTGAAGAAACTCGTATTACCGTTTATATCAGACACGTCTAATCTAACAGTAAGTGAAAAGTACAGGAAGTGGCATACTGGTTGAACGCGTAAATTGCTAATTTAAATTTTATGCTGTGCAATCGTAGTTTCTTCGTAAGGCAGATACTGCTCGCCACCACGTTAAAGGAAGTATTCTGCATTTGTATAGGATTTCAAGCTGACATAACCGTCTTAAAGATCGGTTAGTGCAGTCAACAGTCCTGACCTTGAGAAAACCCAGACCCACCGAAATTTTGAGTTGCACGCCCCCGAAGATATGTGGACATTTCCAGCGAGGCTATTTCAGGGTCCCCGGTTCCCATTACACCATAATAACGTTATTAAAATCCTGCCAGTCCATTAGCCATGCGGCGATTAAGGCCATGAAAAATATAATTGTCGAAGTGTTCATATCTGGCGTTCGTGAGCGCGATTTCCTGATGTAACGGCTGTCACTTGGCTCTCAATCGATGTTGCGCAAAATGCGATGACGTAATCAAACAGTGACGTATTGAGGAGCATATCTACTAATTAGAGAAAATGTGTGACCTTGCAATTTTTGTGGACTTATTTGAACTTCTCGATTGTGTGAGCAAGGACCGTGACCAAAACCTTGTTAAAAAAGTCGACTGCATTAATGAATATCAGGCATATGATAACTGTAGGGAGGTCCATCTTAATTTCCTGTGAAGCATTCCATTGAATATTATTGTTCATCGCCTGTACTGCTACGGAAACAGGACATAGTAGCGACAAATAGGACAACAAAGACTTTAATTCACGGAGTAGGTGGAACGCTACGTAAACTCATTTTGTGGAGTAGTTCGCAGCGTTAGATCGTGATCTTCGAGTCAAGTACGGTTTGAACAAATCAAATTTAAATTGGATGCTGGAAGTTCACGCAAATCTTTTAGGGAACAGAATTTGTTGTAATCCTTATTTCAATAGCCTTATTGCCCCAAAACCTATTCCAAATTACATGACTTTGTCTAAATGGCTTTCGTCGTATCAGCTTCGAATCGGCCACCAGGATTGTCTTTGCTAGCAACCATGACCTGACTTAGACCCACTACAGGTTAGTAGCCCTGATTTTTTTATATCGCAAGATTGGCTTTTCAAATTTGTGCAGCCAAGCACAGCTTCACATCGCCATGCCGCACCGTTCAGCCATCATTTCCAACAACCGCGGCGGTCAAATTAACTTCCCTCCCCTATCGACCACGTGACAGCTTAGAACAAACCTACAAACGACGGTCAAGTACAAAAGTTAGGAAGGTGAACAAAATTGCAGGTAGGCTGCAACTTTCAAAAGCAAACTCAACTGCATAACATGGATATGTGGCATTTTACTCCTCCATGATACCAGGTGACGCATGTTGTAAATGCTATGGCGCTAGGCAGGAACAATATTTCAGGAGCTCGGTCGTTGCCAAATTTCTATCCCCCGACTTTTGGTTTTAAGGCGGAGGAAAACGTGACGACCTCGGTCCTGAAAATTACCGCACTAGTGCCGTGTGACAACACACACACATACACACATACTTCTCTCTCTCTCTCTCTATCTCTCTCTCTCTCTCTCTATCTCTCTTCTCTCTCTCTCTCTCTCTCTCTCTCTCTCTCTCTCTCTCTCTCTCTCTCTCTCTCTCTCTCTCTCTCTCTCTCTCTCTCTCTCTCTCTCTCTCTCTCTCTCTCTCTCTCTCTCTCTCTCTCTCTCTCTCTTTCTCTTTTTCTTCCGGAACAACAGTTTCCCCTTGATTACCATTCATTTATTGGTTGGAAGGTTCCTCGATTCTAGGCAACTTTCCTTGCCCATGCCTTTTGATGTTCCGAAACTTAAGGAAATTTGTTCTTTCGTACTGTGACTCAGGTTCTTAAAGCCTGAAAGTGAGCCGATCAGCTTTATATCCAAGTCTCACCCATTTTTAGATGCTAGAATTATTCTGTTGAATTCATCCTCATCAGGTTTCTTCTTCAAGTACAAGGATATTCTACCCTAAAGACTACCAATCGACTGCCGCATGCCAGTTTTTGTGCCTCGTGTAGGGCATCCTACATACCCTTTTACCAAGATCCACCCTTGGATCTTGCACAGCGGCATTTGGCAGGATTGGGGTAAATCCCTCCAGCGGAAAGTTTTTTTCGCCACCTGATCCCGCCCACATCCGAGAACAACCACATACGTGTTACACTCCACTTTTGACTCCAATTTTGGTATCTCGGGCAGAGCATATTCCTCGCTCAATTCAAGAATCTCAGCGTCTCCATGTACTTACATGTGCGTGTGTGACATTTTCCATTTGTCTGTGCGTGTTTTAAACCATTGTGGCTGAACGTGTATGTTCTTTTGCTTGATCATTCAGCCGTTGTTCTGCAAGCGCGCCGTGACCATATACATATATATATATATATATATATATATATATATATATATATATATATATATATATATATATATGCTGCCTCTTCTGGTATGAGCGCGTTGATCTATTTATATCCGAGTTTGTGGCACGATGAGATTACACTCAGTGTTCATCTGATTGGATCATGAATTAATTCCAATCTTTGCGCACATACTTATTCGTGTTACTTCATGAAACTGTAATTGCAACCGGATTATTAAAAACGCTGACATGTGTTCAGATAAATGTCACATGCGTAACGAGGTCCGAAATAGTGCGGTCACATACAAACGCTTTTCACTTGTGTATTCACCATATCTTTACAGCAAGACTCTGCCAGTAATGACCAGTTTTGGAGTGTGCTATAAAATACCGCATCTTGCTTTTGGGACATGAAAAGGTGAAAGCAGCACAAACCCCAGGTAATGTCGCCGTTGTCGACGACGACTGATAGACATGGTATATGGTTTCTATTATGCAGGCATCTATCGTCATCAGACCTGACCGCGAAACAATACACCGATTATCTGTGACGGATGGCTTCCATGGAACGTTTCCGCCAAGCATGCATGACCTCATCATGACCGCTCATCACGTCATCAGCTCTGTAACCTTGTCGGTCATGACCAACTAAAACATTTTGCCTCCAATCCCTGCATGCGGAAGTTTGGCGACTTGCTCGGACTCGATTAAACCTGTCGGGTCCGGACATATCTAGCTGATGACCGCTATTGCCCGCAACACAGAGGGCACCTTGAACCATTAAAGTCGGGCGCGGGGCCGTGCTGCAGAGCGTAGTGTCGGTCATCGAACCACCATGGCATCACTCACAGTTGATGAACACTAAAAGGCTGCGAGCAGGGGCACTTTACAACCCTGGGACACTGCAGTGCCATTTCGATATTGCCGCTGAAGCGATAAATGAAAATAAGCTTTGGTTGAGTTGCAAGGTGCAGCAAAGCCAGCAAATGTCACATGGTTGAAACTGCTCGGAGGGCGATGACGTGTCCTTGTTTGTTCCATTTTCTTCCATGCACTTCTGTTTTGCTCTGTTATTTCTTACTCTTGAGCTCTACGTAAAGTCATAAGTGTTTGCATAAATTTCAAGCCAGTGAGAGGCATTGCGCGGAGCGGGGTCTCAAACCCATAAAGGGCCTAATATGCTAACAATGTCTTGATTATTTTTCCCTAGCGTATGGAAACGTTGACCAATTCAGACATAAGTAATAGCGAGCACTGTCCTTGCCAATAAGCTATTGCGTCTAATATATATATATATATATATATATATATATATATAAGTATATAGACATATATATGTATCTTTGCTCTAAGAGATCAACAGGTCTTCTTTTATGCAAAAGTTGTTGTAAATGACGGGATAATTGTTGGGTAGCATGTTGTTCTTCAAGTTCTCGATCTTAATAGCTCACCTTCTCTTAGGTGCCTGAATGGCATGCATTAAATCTCCAAATACTTGCAGCGTTTTGTCCCACATAGGACGCCATCAGGCAATTACAAGCAAGCGCAATATTCATGTAACACTAAATATCGGTGTCATTCACATAATGCGTAATAAAATCACAATAAAACATAAGTTCGGTTGAGGTCGATCGCAGGAAAAATTCACGATGAAGTGATCACGGTGCTGGGGACAAAAAATATGGAGAACTCGCTCAATATTTCTGAATTTTTCCTGCTGAGGGTTTATTCGCATCACATTGTTTGCACATAAGCGCATGGTCTCAGAGCACATTACTTCGTGCTTTTATCTTTAAGATTGCCTACTCTTTCCCGAGTCACGATGTGTTGATCTTGTTTTGCTGTAACCCGCCCTTACTTAGAGATGAATCGAGTTCGAAACGCATTTCGATGGATTTCAGTAGTTTGTGATTTTTTCCCTTCCCACGTCAAACCAATAAGACAGGTATCACGCACCGCCGGCGCTCCGCCATTCGGATGTGGTCCAAAGCTTACTGCAATGATGCGGCCCTTCTGACCGAGCCGTGTGCAAATTTTACGTTGCCAGGTGCTGAGAGTACTGAGTATTCACTGCATTCGTGCACGCCAGACGAACCGACGTTGAGAAATTGCAATATTAACATTCACCAGACGAAAATGCATTGACGCGGCGTTCAGGTGTCATTCTGGTGCCAACACCAACTATGAGTCTTGTCTGACCCATGAGTCTGGTCGAACCATGTGTCAAATCTCACCATCAGTCCGGTCAGCCTATGAATCCAGTCAGACTGCGAGTCCAATCAAAACTATGAGTCCAATCAGTCTATGAGTCTGGTCGCGCTATGAGTTCCGCCTATGAGTCTGGTCAGATTATGAGTCCGATCAGACTGAGTACATTCGTGCTATGAGGTCCGGTCAGACTCTGAGTCCGGTCAGACTCTTGAGTGTGGTCAGGCCCGGTGCTTTTAATGAAATAGGGCAATGAATTTGCAGTTGTTTACTATGGCAATTGTGGTTAAAGTGTTGCAAAAGTACTATTTGGACTGCATATTGACCACAATTAATGAGGATATTACGCTTCTGCAGGTAGCATAAGGGCAATCTATCTCGGTTGAGGCCACAGCGTCTGACATTTGAGAATGGTTTCAAGAAAAGGAGACACCGGTCACTTGCCGGTCGATTACTATGAGCCTTGGACCGGAAAGTTTTGACGTCCCTTGGTGTGTTGTGGGTGGCATACGCGCCTTGCGCTTGATGTCACCACTTCATCTGCACTGGCTGACAAAGTATGGCATCACTGCCAAAAGACGCCCGAACAATGGAAATTGTGTGGTTCGCGCACGGGGATGTATGACTACACACATCGACTGACACTTTTATTCAGACGATTACCCGTTTTCTCCTTCTTTAGCACATTTTAGTCCTATATCTCTGCGACGTACGGTCCAAATCTGGGCCCGGTTTTGATCCGGAATCGTCGTCTTTTGGTGACTGGAAAATTTTGCATATTTTATGTCAATCTTCCCGGAGAGGCGCAATCCTGGTGGCATCGCAAGGTTGCAGGAAAAATCTCACCCTATCACAGAGCTTGCACACAAATGCCGCAGAATTTACGCAGTACACATTACCGCTCGTACTGGGCTGAAAAAACATTGGACTTCCTGTCGCCGAAAACTGCATGAACTTTCGACTAGTGGTTGCAAAGAAATGAGCTTCTATAAGGCGGGACACCCAGGCCGGGCCAGGCTCGGCCGAACCCATACTGAACCAATACTGAACCAAGGCCGGGCCAAGGCTGGACCAAGGCTGGACCAAGGCTGGACCAAGTCGCTCGATTTGAACACAAGTCGTATACTTGTAGATTAGGTTAGGCACACTCAACTTCGCGATCAAATTGTCTTTTCTTAGCATTGAATTTGACGTGGCACAATAGCACACACACAAAAAAAAAACGTGTGGGAAGTTCATTAATATGGGCAAGCACCAAGTCGACAGATGGTCGCAGCTCGCCAGGTTAATGTACCTAAATGATCATCTGTTGGAGAGTGATGATACCGCACTCGCTAACCAAGTGAACATTTCCCCTGTATTTACGATAACTACGGGCATGCTTCCGACTCTGTGCTTGTGAGGAAGGCCTGAGATTGACTTTCAGTCACAGTGGTGGCTTTGCCTTTCCTTTCATCCTGCATGATCATGCCATCTTTGTGGTCATTCGTTGAAGCAGGTAAATGCATTGCGCTACAGCCGAGTATGCTGACAAAGTTGGTGTAGTAATGTCTTACAAGTCATTCTAGAATATGCGGACCCAATTTACACATGCGGATAACCTGTTCTTTCATTACACGTAACATTCAAAGCAACCTACAATCCGCTGACACAGTTGGTGACGAGCATACACAGCCTCCACAGACATGGCAGACACGGCTTGAGACACAACCTCGACAGACACGGCTTGAGACACAAACCTCGACAGACACGGCAGACACGGCTTGAGACACAACCTCGACAGACACGGCAGACAGGCATTGAGACGCAACCTGACGGACACGGCAGACAATCTACGAGTGAAGCGGTGATCGCCTTGACGCAGCGTGCCCACGCAACTTACCAGAGTGTAGCGGGGGTCGTCTTGACACAGCGTGCCCACGCGCTTCCAACCGTGCTGCTGCACGAAACGCCACGCGCGCCACGTCCAGGTCACGGGCGTTCGGCACAATCCGGTAGAAGTTTGGGAAGTTTCTCCGCGTAAACATAGGGTGAGTGTCGGCGTAGGACAGCTGAAACATACCAACGGGAGCCGAAGCACCGCTGAAACTGCGGCATTGTCGACCAGCCATGCGCGGCAGTGGGGTTAACAATGCTTGCTGCGCTAGTTTCAACCACTTTAGCAACTCGACGCTGTTTATTGGGTCGGGCCTGATGCGGTTGGGCCAGCAGTAGTTGAAAGACACCCCCACGCAGCAAAAGTGCTGTGATCCAGCCACATTCGTCACGTCGCTGGCATGTGTCGTCAACGGCTCACGTTCTGCATGCCTTTACAGTACAGAGACCGAATTTTAGCACAAGGGTTATTTCCCATGATGACCCTTTCCATCAATAAGTTTAAGTGTTGAATTTTCTTACCGAAGTGAGGTTAATATGGTCATTGCATAGATTGTGCTGGTATTTCCCAGCGGGGATATCTTTGGCCGTGCGCTGATGTTTGACAGTTCTTGGGTCATTGGGTATTATTTATTGGCAAGTTCTGCCAGGCGTTAAGCTCTGGTGCCGGCCACCGCTGCGTGTATCATCAAACGTGCAGTCAGGACGCAATCTGTCATCCGCCGGGCAGATCACTGAGAGCAGCATGCGGGCTTTCCACTACTAAGGCATAGATGGTCGAACAATCACACAGTGGTGGATGCCAGCAGGAGAAGAGAGAAACGCGGCTAACGTGGCGTTTTATTGATTTATCCCCGCCAGGCTGGTATTGCTGCATACCTTTATCGCAGCCAAAACATCCTAGAGCAGTAGTAATAGCATTTGGGCTTTTGGGTCACATTACAGAGTTTCTGCGCATAATCGGTCAGCAAAAATCTGAACACTCCTTGCCGATAAAGAGGACATAGACCATAGCTCATTGAGCAGCCAAAGCTTGTCAGAACCCGGAGGCATCATTACTAATGTCGCACTATTACGAACTTGCTTTTCGAGTTAGAGCGCTCCGAATGGCCGCGGGCGTCGCTTACTAACTGTAAACCGCGCTCACCTCGCCTCTGCTGCTCTGCTGATTCAACGTCTGCTGGTCATTACTGCCGCCAGTTTATTGTCATGCACTTGATCGGCGCCAGTGAGCGCCGGTCCACCTGAATTGCCTGAGTTAAATTGTTGTATAGACGTCTCAGACGCGACAGGGCGCAGATAAGCGCCGGTGCGCGTCCAGGCCCGGAGATGCTGTACGGCGCATCGAACTCACCTGGGTCAGGTTCCAGTGCTTGGAGGCCTTGGCGATGGGGTCGGTGACGTGAGTACACGCCGCGCCGAACAGCACCAGCTTCCTGGGCAGCATGTGCACCATGTCGAAGAACGCCTTCATGGCCACGGCCGAGTTGCACTGCAATCAGAAAACGTGTCTGCCTCAGCCAAGCGGTGAAGCGAAGCCGCGAAGCGAGGCAAAGCCGCAGACGGCGGGTCGCTGGCCGTGCGCGGCGCGCTCTCTCGAACCCCGCCGTCCGCTGAGCGAGTCGGCTAGAGACACGGGTCATCACAGTGCTCCACTCCACTGCGCGGCCGGTTTCATCTGCGTAAGTGACGCGTGCGGCGGCGAGCCATGGCAGAGTGGCGGGATCGCCGGGCCGGCGCTCACACCACGCCCGCCCGGCACGACTTATCTGGCCGAGCTCGAGTGATGGCCGCCACGGAACGTCTCCGGACGCCTCTGACGGACCCTCGCGTCCGCCATGAATATCGCCGTGTTCCCGGGGACCTCGCCGCTGCGGCGCTGCCATCAGAGCTAGTCCTGGTGCCGTGTCACGGCCCACACACACTGGCCGAGGATCGAGCGCCTCGCACGGTCTTTGAACACCCCCATCACGTAGAGCGTACAATATCCAATAAGTCCGACAACGAGCCAGTAAACATTTGAAGCCTGCGTGCCTGATTGACCGCCGCCAACGCTGGTGGACACACCCACCGGCCAGGTCAGCCCTGTGCGCCTGCTGCACGTTCCATCAATCGAACTTGCCCGCAAACACCAGCAGTCGGTGGCCGGCCGCATCGCAACCGGCGGCGGCGGCAGCAGCCGTCCTGTCGCCGCACTGTTACCGCACTGTTACCGCCCCAACGCCACCGCGCGTCCGGCGACCACCGGGGATGCCATGGACCCGTTTGTCACGACCGCTCGGCCAAACGAGTTCTGTTCGCTGAAGCCGACTGTCGGCGTCGTTGGCTCGTCGGGCCGGCGCGCCGCGAGAGCCGCTCGCTGCGAGAGGACGGCGGCGGCGACGCTGGCCGTGTCATGTCTCGGAAACTGTGGCATTAACGATCCAGCCGACCGACGGGCACCCGCCAGCGCCGGGCCGACTCGGTTGGTCTGGTCGCCATGCCGCAGCGTCGCAAACTCAGCCAGGCGGACGCGGCGCAGCTACCCGCGAGTCTCAGCTGTCTTTCTGGGGCAGCTGCTGAGAGTCTAGCTGTTCGGGCGCAGCTGCTGCAAGTCTCAGCTCTCTGGGCGCAGCTACCGCGAGTCTCGGCCACCGCGATTCTCAGCTACCGCGAGTCCCAGCGGCCACAGGCCCCAGCAGCCGCGAGTCCCAGCCGTCGTGAGTCCCAGCTCCAGCGAGTCCCAGCTGCCGCAAGCCCCACCTGCTGCGAGTTCCAGCCGTCGTGAGTCCCAGCCGTCGTGAGTCCCAGCTCCAGCGAGTCCCAACTGCCGCAAGCCCCAGCTGCTGCGAGTCCCAGCCGTCGTGAGTCCCAGCCGTCGTGAGTCCCAGCTGCTGTGAGTCCCAGCCGTCGTTTGCCCCAGCTCCAGCGAGTCCCAGCCGTGCGGGCGGCACACGGAACGCTTGTTTTCGAAGATTTTGCTGGGATTAGAAGCGCTTTGGTATTCAGGCTACGCGTGCCTTTGTATCACAGAAGTGCGGGTAAATGCATTGGGGGTTCGGTGTTCCACATAAATCTCCATTGGGTCAAAGGTTCGGGTAAACATGCTATTGTAAAGATGAACCACTGAAGTGTTTTCGCAATCAATGCAGTCGACATTTTAAGCAAAGGTCGAATCAGTCGCGTCAAGTGTGCCAGCTTGTGCTGATCCATGATTTACGATCAAATTAGGAGAAATCGGTTTTATCCCTTTCAGATTGATTTTCCGGCGTGTTTTTCTGAAGAAATCCAATCCAAAGCATAATAAATCCTCCACTAGACAATCAACGGCTTTTTACTGGTCTCGGGGGGGACAAAAAGAACCGCCACTTAAGACCAATGCAGCCGCAAACAGAGTTTCGGCATGCAGGGTTTCCCGTCACGGAGTAGAGCGCGTCAACGTGGTGGAACCGACGCCGCCAGCTGCCTTGTATCATCATTACAGGCGTGGCTGCAGGCAGGTCACTATCGGGCCACACCGAACCAACAGTAACGACTTCACTGAATGTAGACATGCAATGAAAGCGGAGCCGGACCGGGGCGTGGGTCCGTTTACCGGCGGGTGCAGCGGCCGCCGCCTCCGCGTCAGCCTCGCGCCGGGCATTCCGTAAGTGACCGGGGGTCTGGGGCGCCTCTACTCCGCCCCCCCAAGCCGCCCTACCACGGGCCCGAGCAACTGGAACCTCTCCACCCCGCTCTGCCATGCCGCCCTGCCGCGGGCTCGGTGCCTGCCGCTCTAGGAGCCGCGCGCCGTCCGGACACAACCCACCGCACGGCGGGACGGCATCCCGCAGCCGGCGCCTCGGTCATCACCATCCCGCATTCCGGCCTGCGCCGCTTTTGTGCCGCAAAATGAATTCGCGGCGTTTGCTGACAAAAAGCCGGTGCCGGAGAAGCTCCATTCCCGGGCGGAAATTGAATGATTGCAGAGACGATTGGGCCTGGCTGGCGATGTCGCCCCAGCCGGCCGGGCTGGGGCAGCAGGGCTGGCAATGTCACCCCCAGGGGGTCGTGGCAGCCCAGCTGGTGGTGTCACCCCCAGGGTATCGGGCAGTCTGCCTGGCGGTGTCATTCCCAGCCGGCCGGCATTGGGGCAGACGCGGCGACGGCCAGCGAAGCTGAAATGTGTTCTGATCTGGACGGTGGAAAAGAGGGAGAGTCAAGCTAGATGCATCATTTGCGCGCCGTCTGCGCGGATAGTCTGTGCCGCACTACAGACGCCGACCAGAGAACACCCAGCTCTAGCACCTGGTGGTTAGACCGCACCGCAATGCACAAGAGTTCGGCGGTGCGGCATTCAAGTTAGAAATAAAACGGAATGTTACGCAATTGAAGGTATTGAGGCAAGCGTTAGATACAATAAAATAAGTTCGTTAACAGCCGGGAGTATTTTGAAGTGGAAAAGACTGTTCTAAACAACACAATTATCTGTTTAGTAAATATGTTCTTCAACACGTCATGCTTGATTCCGTCATCGTACCTTGCACAACATGGATTGATAGCCAATTGACGCAGTTATGTCTGGAAATCGGGCTCACGAATGCCAGATATGAACGACTCTTTCTTGGCCTTGATCACCGCATCACTAGTGGAATACCATAATTTCATTAATTTATTATGTCGTCATGGATGCCGGGGCGACTTTGAAACAACCTCTCCGAAATAATCTGCAAATCTTCGCAGCTCAGAAACTTGGGAGATTTAGGTCTTGGAAGAGCAGGCCTGTGAGCTGCACCGAATGGTCTTGAAGATGGCTATTTCGGTTCGAAACCCCATTCAAATGTGAAACACTCCCTTTAGGCCGCGGCGTCTTCGGGTCTGCCTATGCCAGATAGTGCTGTTGCGTTTCACGTACATAATATGGCCTCATCACTCAAGCACTTCAGAGATAAACGAGCGGGACAATAACCTTTGAAACAAAACCATCGGCTTTCACAGCCCTTTCTAAAATGGGACGAAATGACCGACATCCCCCAGCACGCAGCCACTAAATAATTGCTAAGCAATCTGTGCGAGCTACGGACATTAATGCC